AATCGAAGTAAAGAGCGAAAGTGGTAAAATAATTTGTGACACAATGTAGCAATGTGAGGGTAGGCATGGGGAAAAAGCGTTTCACCTACTTTTTGATGAGCAAGGTTCTCGACTTAATAATAGAGAACATCTACAGCGGAACCTGCATAATCATTCTTGTGAACAGAACAGAACGAGCGGTATGCGGCTTGAAAGGCTGCTTTTGAATCTGTCTTTGTTAGCTGAAAACTTTCTAAAGAAAGATCTATGGAGCCTATAAAATGCCTTTTAGACGGCAAGAAAACATTTTTAAATGAGTCGGTATGACTAGCAGAAGTAAGCCTCTGCACTGTTGCTCCAGGTTACTAATAGAAAGCTTAATTCCGTTCAGAGGAACGATGAGCATTTATTGGAGCCCTGCTTGAAATCATTGTTAGCTACAGTTAGCACATCCCATGAAGACTGCCTACTGTTCGTAGTGCGGATATCTTAATTTTGGATCTACATGAGTTGCTTGCTTTAAAAATGGCTATTAAGCTCATTAGAATTTCACATTAGTCGGTTTGCCCAGGCTTATCCACTTCCTTTTCTAGCATTTCGCATCCGGTCAGCCATGCAACAGTGGTGAGATGATAGGTTTCGAGTCCCGTGAATGTATAGCCAAGGAGCCAAGTATGTGCGAAGGACCCTTCTTCCGATACTGCACTTTACCTTGTTAATCCCTTCTTCCAACAATTTAGGAGTGTCCAATTATCTTTAGATTTTCGCCATTGTATTTACCTTGATATTGGGTCGCAGACTTTGCATCGTTGTAGCTTCTTCCTCACCAACATGGTCCTTTGCCTAGTGACTATCACAAAATGTGCAATTTTTTACACGTGCTCTAATTGACCTTACAGTAATTAATATGGGTTTATATTGAACTGCTGATTATCATGTCGATGTCTTTCATTGATAAATGTAGTTAATTGTGCTTTGAGTTTTTAATTTATTCATTTTCAACCTTTCAGTTGCAGAAACCTTCGTACCTAAATGCTATGGGAAGCTATGTGAGAGGTTTCAAAAGTTTTGCTAACGCATCGCCTTACAGATCCTCTCACATGTATGCGCCAGATCTCTGACCATGAAGTAAGCTTGCCGAGAAGTGAACCGTCAGTTGGTTCTGCAGCACATGTCTTTTCTCGTAAAAGTTTGCTCACCTTGAATGAAATGTGGGAGTTCTCCAATGAATTCGATAATATAAGCAAAGTTTTCTTGCTGGTAAACCACTTGTGTTCTATAAAGGAATTTTATATGTCGGTTTTTCTTCGGTTTGGCATGTCCTTTTCTAGCCTTTGATTCAGATCGAGATGATGTTACTTGGGGCCCTGATCTCATCTTTGCCAAACTATTTGGCCATTTAAAGGCTAACTAGATCTTTGATTCGTTTTTCTATGCGCGAAAAACGGTAGATCATCGAACTTACATAATTCCTGGA